TATGGGGAAGATGAAAAGAAGGGGGGTCCGGGGGTTCTCCCCGGGACGGTATATGCCCCCAGTACTTAGGGTTGAGGTATATGGGGAAGATGAAAGAAAGGGGGGTCCGGGGGTTCTCCCCCGGGACGGCAAACGAGGGTGGATTTGGACTTACTAAGGTCAACGCGCCCGCGTAGTCGACCTGGGCGAGCTTTTGGAGTATTGTGCGCCCGTCCTGCTCATCCTGCCCGTCCTCAGGTTGGGGAGGGATGGCGAAGAACATGATCGGGGCGAGGAGGAGGGTGATCGGGGCTTGGATCCAGAAGATGAGACGCTGTGTTGCGGTGCGGTCAGGTCAGCAGCAGGAACAAGTACTGCACTGTACAATCCACCACGGAGGGCAACCCACCCATCCGTAGACGGTGGTCAGGAGGCCCGAGAGCACGGCCCCCGACGCGATCCCCGTCGTCATGGCGGCGCTGATCAGGCCCAGGAACAGCCCGCGGCGCTTCTTGCTCGTCAGGTCCAGCGCCAGCACCAGCGCCGTCACGCTCTGTCCGCCCGCGCCGCAGCCCGCGACGGCTCGTCCGGCCAGAAAGACGGCCAGATTCGGGGCAGCCGCGGTGATGAACAGCCCCAATGCCAGCAGGCTCGAGGTGAAGAAGACGTAGACGCGGGGCGTGAAGATCTGACACAGTCGGCCGGAGAGGGGCGTGATGCTCGAGTAGGCGATCTGCCTGGTTAGCTCCGCATTGACTTGTGGCTGCACCGCTAGACAGGGAAATCACCAGGAACACGGAGCTGAACCACGTGGCCACGGAGAAGGCGTCGAACTCGGTGGCAATGGCCGATTGCGCGGTGGTCATGGCGGTGATTTGGGTGGCTGCTCGGTCAGCCTCTGTGCAGCCCTGGAAACGAGGGTGTACAGTACTGTACCTTGAATAAACAGCAGCAGACCCATGGCTACCATGATCGCCGAGCCCTGGACGCCCGTCACCGGGACGCGGGGCGCATCGTGCACCTCTTCCAAACGGCCCAGAAGGGGCGTCTGCTCTGACGGGACGGATTTCTGATGAGTAGCAGCGGTCATTGTAATTCTTGCGGACGAAAGTATCACACCAGGAGCGGAGTGCGTTGCGGAGGACATTTATCGGCGAGGGGCATCTATGATGTGATCTGCGGAGAAAAATGCGGGATGGGCGGATGGGGTCTGTAGGGAGTGCAACGAATAAGCATTGCTAACCCGACACGCAGAAACAGGCAGCGCCCGTCGCCATTTCCTGGCACCGATAAGTGATCGCCGGCCAATGGTAAACGCCCCGCGTTGCTCGGACATCTGTCCCTGGGGTCGGCCCAGGCCGAGAATTGGCAGAGAGAGTGCGAGAGTGCGAGATAGCAGATCCGACGCATCCGCTTATCTGCCATCATTCTGACAGCTCCGAACCTTGCGGGGGGAGGGCGAGTCAGCGTGCGCGAAATCCTGCTGGCAACTTAATCGATATGATGTCAGATTTTGTCACTTGATATGTGATGTCCGATCGTTGTGTCAGGTCTGGCTAGACCCTTGGTGCATGGCAGTGGAGCTGTTTATTTCAATTCAATTCATGTTTTATAACCTAAGGAGCCTCGTGAGAGAACTTGGAGCTGCCTCGGCGCTGCGGAGAGGGTCTCTTGGCGCAACGTGACTATAATAGCTCAAATGTGAGAGAACCGTCTGGGACTGTGTACGTCAGGGTAGTGGAAGACCCTGCATGCCCAGTGATTTTGTACCTGAAGAAGAAATTGTAGGCAGATCAGTCGAGTCTGATGAGGAGTCTGGAGGGTCAGAAGGGCGGCTCCGGCAGATGACTTGCTCTGGATGCGACACCACACATGACCACCACTCGAGGGTATTAAAGGCTGAGATGCTATTCTAGAGTAAAGCTAAGATCCTCAGAACCATTCACCAGCTCTGAGAAGACCATCAACATGAAGACAGTTCTCTTCTACTTATCCGTTGGGTATATATTCCTTGTCACACGTGCCGAACCGTACCGAACAACAAGTAAGCGCCCCGTCTCTGACCAGCGGCATCTGCTCACAATGCAGCCCTAATGCAACGACTCGGAGACAAGCACATCGATGCGCTCGACGCAGACAGGACCCCCATCGGAGGCCTGGAAGAATGTACGTCTCGTTCAGCCCCCTTCATCCTCAGTCACAACCCCTGACCACTACGCAGCCTGCTACGTATGCTCCTCGCCGTGCTCCGCGGCCGTCTGCTGCCACGGGCGTTACCCGCAATGCTGCAGCGACGGCGTCTACTGCTACTGCTGTCGAGACTAGACCCAATGTAACCGTAACATAATAATAACATCAGTATCCGAGATACATAACTTCCCACCTGGCTTAAAACCACCCCTCCCCCTCCTAACAGCCCAGAATACATTGTACCTAGTAGCTAAGCCCACTCCGGCGCCCCAAAGCGATCCACCGGCCCGAACGCTTGGTACAGCGGATCCAACCACCGATCCACGATCCACAGGAACCCATTGGCGGCCTCGACCTGCGTCACCAGCCCGGCATTCATGACGAACACGGCCGCCCCGTCCTCGCGGGTCACCGTGATATTCAGCCCGGTCACATCGCTGGCCACGGAGAGCGAGCTGTTGCCGTGGAGCGCGCGACTGTCGAACCGCTCGCCGCCGCTGTCGACCCAGCCGTACTGCCACAGCAGCGTGTCGAAGGGGCTTTTGTACGGCGAGACCAGCGTATCTTGACGGGCATCGTCAGCATCAGCATCAGCAGTCATCCCACCACCCAGACAATGAACTTACGGTACACAGGCAAGATGGTAGGCATCAGCTCGAACGCCTCATTCCGCGGGACGACGAAGAACTGTTTCTCGGGGGACTGACGCGACAGCCGCCGGACGGTATCCGGGGAATTGACCGACAGGATCTGCGACGCATTGATCAGCCGGGCGTCGGTCTGCACGAACGCGCCGATGGTCAGATCAGTGGACTCGTAGGACGGGGCCGTGGTGCGGTTGCTGGGCCCGCCGCCGTAGACCAGGAACGGGTCGATGAGCTGGTCGATCGCGTGGATCAGCCCGTTGTCTGCCGGGAGGTCGGCTTGCACGATCGCGGCCTGGTCGTCGAGGCGCACCGTCCCGTTTGCTGCGGTGGTCGCGTCGATGTAGTACCCCTGCACCGTCTTGGTGAGCACCCCCCTGTGGAATTGCGCGGTCGTGTTGGAGAGCTGGAGTGAGGTTGAGATGCCGCCTACGCCGCTGGTGGCGGAGACGCTGACGAGTTCGGAGGCGGTCAGGCGGGCTTCGATGATGTGCGTGCGCAGGAGGGCTTCGATGAGCGGGTAGGCTTGTTGGGTGAGGAGGATGTCGAAGATCGGTTGGGGGATCTTGGCCCATGCCTGTGGTATTCATGGGTTAGATGCGTGGAGTGTGATAGTGGAAAAGAAGGAGGTACAGCGTTGGTCGGAGCCAGGAAGGTGTAGTTGCGCGTGTCGGTGTCGTAGTTGAACCGCTTCGTGAACATCGGATTGATCTCCACAATGCCCCCCGTCCTATTGTACACATGCGCGTACGTGGAGAGCTCGGGGATTTCGAGAAGCGTGTCCATCAGTGGAGCAGCCACGACGGCGTTGGTGAGGATTGCAGCGACGGCTGCGATTGCTGGAAGGGCTAGCATAGTTTCTGTGAAGGGCACCACCTAACGGACCTGACAGAAGAATGAATGCTCTAGGGGGGGGCAACTACATTCGACCCACAGTCGGGCTGATCAGCAGATATAAGATCTCCCTCCAAGGGGATCATCCAGGGGGATCATCCAGGGGTATGAGAGTCTGACGGTGGAGGGGGTATATTCTCTTCCGCCCACGAGCTATTGTTACTGGGATGGGTCTTTACTGGTGGGAGACATCCCCGATGCTGCATGAGTGTTCGTTGTCACATTAGTGGCGTCCTCCTCGGAGCTTAAAGCAAACAAGAGATCTCTACATAGCGAAAACTACTTGGCAGGTCTAAGACCGAACCGGTCTCGGAGATAAAACTAGTTCGCCTCCACACGCAGTGAACAGGCACCACAAGGTCAATCAACTCCATTCTCCACTTGATCCACTCTCTACCTGGTCTATCGGGGTTCTCGGCCTTGTAATAAAGTCGTAAGATCGCTAATGGACAATCCGCGCCAGCTGACAAAAAGCAATCATCAATCAAAGCAATCGTGTTACGCGTCATCATATGCTGTCAAACATAAGCTCGCCGTCAGCTCGCTTAGACGACACCATCGGACTTCCGGTCGCGTCCAAGCCACCAATATGACTAGAAACTAAGCGTCTCTGAGAAGTTCCCATGCAAATTGGCGAGAAATTTGAATCCTAGAGCGTGGCGAGCACCTATTCTTTCTCCTCAAACTCGATCTGATAGCCCTGCTGGCCAAGAAGCTTCACGGCCAGAGATCCAGCCCCCGACTCGATCATACCCTCAACCACAGTGGCGGCGCACGCCATCATCTGGCCGCTGACTACCTCGTCCTTTTCGGCTAGGATCTTGCCCAGTGCGTCTGTCCCCGCAGCAGCCATGAACAAGTAGCCGACGAGGAACGGCAGCTCGGTCTCATCCTCCAGGTAGTCAGCCCCATGTACCCTGCGCAGATGGGGATCGCACATGTCCCGGACCATCCGAAGTAGTCTCCAGCAGTTTCTGTGCAATGCCAGATAATCGAATGTGAATTCCGGCGCTTCGTTGTGAACAGTGTCTCGCAAGGTCTCGAGTAATTCGACGATGGTCAGCTGACGAGCGGAGCGCTTCTTGGTAGGTTTGCTTCTGCTGGAGCGGGTGCCGCGCTGCGTTGAACGGGATTCATCTTGCTGTTCGCCCTTCCCTATAGTGGACTTGGCTAGAATTGTCTCGAGGTCCGATTCGCTGAATCCACTCGGTGCCAGTCCTTCGCAGTGTCGACTGAAGAACATCCGTGAGACGGGCGCGACAGGCTTCATGCGCCTTGGCCCCGCCTTTGATTCGGGTAGTCTAGCGTGGTCTCGTCGGTTGCGAGCGAACGCTGCCGCAGAGCAGCCGATGCAGAGACTGTACTGTTTTAAAAAGTCAGGTTGCTGAGAGGGCGGGGCGCCGACGAAAATCTCATTATGCCAGCCCAGGACAAGCTCCATGTCCGCCCAGTGTCTCGTCAGTAAGCCTTCCTGCTGCAGGGCGTTGTACAGGTGGGCGGTGTACATAATCGCCCCCCATGTGCCCTGAAAAGCCATGGCGAAATCCTGGAAGCGAGCCTTGACATAGTAGGTCAGAATCCCACAGAACAGCGGGTGCCATTTCATGAGTTTGAAGCTATCTGAAGGCCTCCAGACCTGGTGCCTCTCCTTTGCGGGCTGCGTGAAGTCGGAATCCACCCACGCGGTAAGGAACTCGAGGAATCGCTTGATCCGGGCGTCATATTGTTCGGGCCACGTCACGATGCGGAGATGAGCGAAGAACTCCTGGTTCAGCTCGATGGAGCTCTGAATGCATTTGGCGGTGTTGGTGAAATCCGCGAACCCATTCACCACATCCCCCTCCAGGCAATGGTGAATGTCAAGGAAGATTTGGCTCGCGAACACCAGCCAGAGGGGAATCTGGTGCGTGTCGAACATCTTGCGTATCCCCCGCGTGATTTCGTCTTCGTGTGGCTCCGGCTGCGGGAGGAGGAGATGTAGATACACGAATTCGGAGAGTACCTCAGACATCACCCTGTTGTCCTCCTCGAATCTGTCCCTCGCACTTTTCTGCGCCCAATCGGTCGCCCGGTCGCAGGTGGCAAAGGACTGTTCTCTGCATGGGAGAAAGCTGTGTCCGTCAACGAGCGGATGGAACGAGTTCAGGAAGACATAAGCCGCCATGAAAAGTGACTCGGCAATGTTGTAGGTGCGAAAGTTCAGAGGGTCTCCGGGCCGCTCGCGGTGCGTCGGATCGTCGCCGACCATGTCACAGATCCCCTCGTAGAGGCCGACCAACAGCGCGATCGACCCTCCGTGTTCGTTCAGAAGGGCCTGAATTTCCTCCTCCAAGTGTCGGGCGAAGTCGATGGCACAGTTCGTCATGAGGGACACCGCCACCAGGTCAAACGTACGAAGCTTGTACTCCTTCCAGGTCCGTACGATGATGGCTCGGATCTTTCTCAGGTCCTGAAGTAGGAGGCTAAATGCGAAGAGCACTTCTTCGTAGTCGCTGAGGCGCTCGGCTTCATAGTTGACCTCTGACTTGTCGGCTGCGGGGGCGGGGATGGGAGCATCGGGCGCCTGCAAAAACGCCTCGGACGGCTCCTGAACTTCCAAGCCTTCGAACCGGTTCGCCAGGTTGTCGGCCCTGTGGTTTATAGAGTCATCAGTCAACGGGTCCTCTACATCTTCCCCTGACATCCGAGGCTGCAGAGCCTGCCGAACCTGCTCTAGGATGCCTATGAAATACTCGTGTCGGTCGGAGGATTCTCGCGATTCGAGGCTTGCTGGACCCTTCGCCCGGGCCTTGTTGCCATGTTCGCGTCGCACTGAGATGGCTCGGTCAAGAACTGCCACGAAGCTTGCTGGCACGCGAACCACCGGCTTGGTTGATACAGCGATGTATTCGGCCAGGTCAACGAAGTCTTTCAAGGCGAGAATGTGTTTAGCATTTTGGGATGTGGTTGATTGTGAGCCACTGGATGCGGCTTTGGTGGCAGCCTCGCGAGCTAACTTTCTCGCTTTTCCTTTCAGACGTTTGGAAGGACCGGTGGGTTCAGTCGAGGGGGGAGAGGTTGTATTGACTGAAGCTCCGAGTGTATCCACAGGGAAGCCACAGCTTTTAGCAGTGGCAACGAGCCATGTTGCTACGGCGTCGGTGTCAGATTTGTATTGCAGATAGCTGCTTGTCATGAAGTTGATAGACATCTCTGTAGTTGCTTTTCATTTCTATCTGTGCAGACAACAGAGTGACCATGCATGGTGGATAGTGATAAGTGATGAGTATGTGTGAGTGGAATTGTACTTCCTGTTAATGTAAACATAGTATAATTGAAGGCGGTGAGTACTATTCTGCCAGGATTTATCAGTGGGCGGTAAGCAGTAACAAGCAGTGACGGGCAGTGAAGGGAACTATAATCTCCTGAATGCCTCAGGCAGCAGAACACCCGCGGAGATCTTCGGTCGCGCCTCCATTTATCCTCCAACCGACTCTCCCTGGGTGCAACACCAGTCTTCTTCCACTTCATCCAAACTCAACATCAACACAGCCATCATGCCACGCGCCGTCCGAGGTAATTATCATCATCTCGTCTGTATCTAACCTCTCACCTCCCAACTAATCGTCGTGTCATCTAGGAGTCCTCATCGAATGCGATCCGTCCGTGAAAGCCATCATCCTGAAATACGACGAAGAGCGCCACGACTACATCGTCGAAGACCTCGATGACGACCGCCACCTTGTGATCAAGGAGAGTCAGCTTCAGAACCTCAAAGCTCGACTGGGAAAGGTAGGAGATGTTTTCGGGTTGTGTCGACCGGTCGTACTGATGGTCCTAGGAACTCGACGAAAAGGTCATGCAGCCGGAGGAATCGGAGTCGGAGTGATCGTCTACTGTTATACTCGGATACTAGAATGGTGCTTGCGGTCGGTTTGTATAGTGTGAGAAGGTATACCAGGGAGGGGAGGGGCGGTTGTGCTCAAGAGTTCCAGTTAGCACGCTGCGCCCGATGCCTGTGCTGTGGTGCTTGTCGCAACCAGGATCACCGGCGCAATGTCCACATGGGAAGCGAGGAATGGGGTAGCAGCGATCAATCTTGGAAATGTATATGGTCGGCCCGCACCTCCACCGACAGGGGCCTGGCATTCGTGATCAACACCAAGTCCCCGAGCCAGGCTGCACACAAGTTCACAGCAGCTGGCACTCTTGACTGTCGCTTGTATTACGATACTTGAAAGCCCAGTCTCGTTACGTCGATCCCCATCGGGGGCAGCTGTTTATACCCGAAGCATCTCGACGCCATAGTCATCGAAGCATTGATCCTTCCGGGGTCTCTCACAGTCTGTGATTGCTCGAAGAAGATTTATATGACTGGCACCATGAATCGGAAGAATCAAACAGGTCGACCACTCATGCTGCTGACTGAATCCTCATCACCGGGTACCTGATGGACGTGCATTTGCTGGTGGTTTCAACCAAAGAACCTGATTTCCGGGCGATCACCGATACCATGAGCTTCATGCGAACACAACCACAGCGTTGGCGGTCCATAGCTTAGTGTAGGGATCATCAATCGCAAGCCGCCAGGCGCCATAATATCGAATGCTTCCATCCGTACCTCGAAGTTCGTCTGTATACTGACATAGCAGTCGACCACCAAGTGGAATCTGTCAATCCTGAAATGATGGGGCTATAGTATGCAAGTATCTCTCGATGCTGACAGACGTAGGGAATGTCGACCACTCGACAGAAACGTGGAGCAACGCTAGTTGATGTAACGCCCGTCCACTCTATGCCAAAACTTAGCCTCATCGCTGTATCTACCGAGGCATGATCTACGCCCGGCGTAGTGTACCACCACCCTCATGCTGCATCCCTAGAAACGAACCTCATCAACCCTGTTCATGATGATGTAGTTGAAGAAAGGATAGGGAGTGACATATCCCACAATATGCCTGTCACAGTGTACATCGCAGTGCACAGCCACTACTCGATATCACCGCAACCCACGATCCGGCCCGACCACCCAATAAGCCCGCCGCTAAAGCAGAGGTAATCACCCCAGCACCAACCCGATAAGCCCGGCGATCCGATAACGGCACGCCATCGTGCGCCCACTTTACCCCACCCACCACACGTCTCCTGTATCACCGCGCGGCGGCGTATACAAAACCCCCACACCCCACACTTCACCTCCAGCAATTTCTCCCATCATCTCATCACCAAGCCAAAAGTCCCCAACTCCAATCCTCCCCCTTCCCAAACACCACCACAGACCCACACGAAAGAAAGAAAAATGACCACCCCCGAAGAAACCCACCGCGCGACCTCCCTCCAACACGCCCAAGACCAAGCCCTCAGCCTCTTTGCCGCCATCGAGCCCCTGATCGTGCCGGGCATCACCGAGAAAGCCCTCAGCGACAGCATCCACCGCCTGGGCGCCTCGCACCACAACGTGCGCACACACTGGCACAAGCGCCTCGTGCGCAGCGGGCCGAACACCCTGCGGCCGTTCGCAGACAACCCCCCCGACCGCACCCTCCTCGCCGACGACATCCTGGTCATCGACCTCGGCCCCGTGTTCGAAGAATGGGAGGCGGATTTCGGGCGCACGTACGTGTTAGGGAGTGATCCCGCCAAGCTCGCGCTCCGCGACGCCCTCGAGGGGATCTGGACATCCGTCAAGACGGAGTTCGATCGGCGGCCCGACGTCACGGGCGCGGAGCTGTATGCGATCGCCAGCCAGACGGTCCGGGCGGCCGGGGCGCGCGCCGGCCGGCGGTGGGTGTTCGGGGCCGAGATCGCCGGCCACCTCGTCGGCAGCTTTCCGCATGAGCGCATCCCCAACGATCGCGTGAGTCTGTATATCACCCCCGGGAATGGGGAGCGCATGCGCGGGAAGGGGAAGGGCGGGTGGGAGCGGCATTGGATCCTGGAGATTCATGTGCATGATGCCGAGCGCGGGTTTGGGGGGTTCTGTGAGCGGTTGTTGACGGTGGGGTGAATTGGATGAATTGTGGGGTTTTTGTGTTGTGCTTGGGTGGATGTCGTGCTCTTGATAGAATGATGAAGGAATCGATATATAGACCCAGGGGGTCAGGTTTATTGTATTTGTATGGTTGAAATGGATAGAGGCACAGATCTATGGACCTATGGGTCCAGTTTGTTATATTGCCAGTAAAGTAAAAAACCAAGGCAACGGCGCTCAGGCCGAACCATCCTGCCGCTGCCGAAAGTCGCGGCGAATGCCCGCCACCGACCCCTCCAAATACGCCGGCACCGGGCCATGGCCCGTGAAGGTGTGGTCGATGCACGGATCGACATTCCGCCCCGGGCCCGGCGGGAACAGACCCATCAGGTCGAGCGCGTCGAACATCGCGCGAAGCTCCGCCTGGACCGCGTCCGAGAACCCGTCGCGGTCGTGGAACCACAGAGCCTCGCGGAACAGGCCCAGGATGGTGGTGTAGGGCTTGACCATGTTGCGCGGGTGCAGGTCGACCGTCGGGGGCTCGGTCTGGTAGACGGCCGGGTGGTCGTTGTACCAGAACATGGCGATGTGCTTCAGCTCCGCGTGCCAGTAGGCCTGCGGCACGCCGGCGCGCGTCGCCAGGTCGCGGCTCAGGTTGATGACCACCGTCTCCGCCCACGTCCGCTGCGTGTAGGTGACCACGGCGCAGGTCCAGAGCCCGCAGATGATCGGCTCGCGCGATTCGATGTAGCAGTGGCTGTTGTCGAGCTCCGTGCGGCGCGGCGGCGCGGGGAAGAACCAGAACAGGTCCTCCTGCGGGTAGAGCAGGATCGTCAGGCCGCAGGCTGCGCTGGGAGCGCCCGCACTGCTTGCCGGCGGAAAGGCGGGGATGTCCTCGTCGAGGTCCATCGCGTCCGGGTCCTGTGGTTGGGGCTGGGTGGGCTGCGTTTCATCCACCTCCATCGCGTCGGGGTGCGGCTGGCCGTGAGCGCCGGCGTCGGCGGGCAGAGCCGCGTGGTAATGCTCCATGGTGCTGGGGATCTGGGCTAACGAGCGTGTCAGCTGACAGTCGACGCCGTACGGGCATGGGACCAGCCCGTGACGAGTGAGGACCTCGCAGGCTTGGTCCATGGTCTCTTCGGGGATGAGGAACTTGACGGGCATGATCGTGTGGCGGTTAGTGCTCACCAGCCAGTACAGTTCGGCGACGGGGGTGTGGAAGTAGGCATACCGAATGCTCTCTTCTTCGAACCATTTGACCACGTTGTCGTCGGGGGAGAGGATCTTGAGTGGGGTTGCCATTTTGAGGTCGGAATGCTTGTGATGTGTTTATGGTGTTTCAATTGCAGGATAAACGGTGCTTTCTCTGGGGGAAAGGAGCATAGCATGTCTTGCTTTTATAGATCTGGCGAGAAGGTCTTGAAGCGAAGATCTCCGCTAGGCTCTCGTACGTCTCGGAACTTCCCTTCATTGAGTATTGCTTCATTTTTGGCTGTGCTCTTTGTTATGCTGGGTAGCATGTTGCTGTCACAGTTCGCATAGCGGGTGTCCATCTATTGAGGCAGATCGTCAAGATGAAAAAAAGGGTTGCGCCGGCTGTATCACTGCAATAATCGTTTCTCCAAGAAGCAAGTACCTGACTAGCCAGAGTGAAAGAAGATCCAAACAGACGGTCGCCATTCTTAGACCCTCGCCCTCGGCATAGATCCAACCCTATGCGACCTGCATGCTTGGCATCACTCTCAGGGCTGACCCCTAATACTGCCCGTATCCAGCACACTACTCAACATCCCCTCAAAACCCAATTCCCATGAAAAATCTCACACCTAAACCAATCAAACCCAAACTCGGGTCCAGCTCGTACCGTGAGGCAATTACCTAGTACCAAGTTGCCCTCTGCCCTCAGCTGCAAGGTGTCACCTGGTCCCATGCCGCACCAATCGCGCCTCCGCACGCACCGCAACCACCCACGGGTCGCCTCTGAAATCAACTGCATTGATCGCACCACGACGTCATGCAACCCGTCCCAATCTTCATTGTTACCGATTTCCCCGCTTCTACTTAAAGCCCACCTCGACCCCGGATTTCGCTGCTGCACTTCACCCCATCCAATGCAGCCTTAGCATACATCCGGGTTCAACTCTTTATCAATCCCATTCGAATTCAGAAAAAAATGGAATCCAACCCCCGCAAACTCTCGGGCTCCTACCACCTCACCGGCGCCGACATCGTCGAGTCGATCGACGATCTCGGCTCCGACGGCCGCTGGGAGGAGCTGACCGCCAAGCGCGCGGCCCACCAGTCCGCCGACATGCCGCAGATGCAGGGCGGCGAGCGCACCGGCTTCACCGGTAATAAGGTGCCCGACCGGGCGCAGTCGTTCCGGCCGTATGATCCGAAGGGACCGATGGGTATGCTTCTTGCCTGGCTGGCAGATTGGGATGTTGGCTAATGTGCGTGGCCGGGGTAGGTGCCGAGCAGAGCGAGGATATTCATCCTCATGAGTAAAGCCGGGGGCCCCGGACCGAGGCCGCGTGTCTTGCAGTCGTCGTTGGGTGCGTTGAGCATGGGCTCGGGAGAGAGCTTGCGCAGCGGAAGGTGCTGGTTTGGAAAATTGATAATTCATGAATCATGATGTAGTATATGTGCGACGCGTGTAGTCTTTAGGCAATGATGTGAATGCTATCTTTGTGTTGGTTGTTGGATAGGTATTGTTCATTCGGTCGGATAGTCCTCCTGGCCAGTAAACGCACCCGCCCTACGAGATGTGCTCATCGTACGACACGCAACAGCCGAACATCCCACCGCAATAACAAAGTTAATCTTCCAGCAGATCACACTCCACCTAATCCCGACTCAACTTACTGTGTACACTCCTGTAACCCAAAAATCTAGGCCCTCCCATTGTCACCCCCAGGGCGTGGACAGGGAACCGATTCCCCAAAGCAGACTAGGGCAACCCTACTTTCCCCGCGGTAAACTCCACACTGGAGTGGAGCCGCCTTCGCACCGTGCCCCCGAAACGGGCCAAATCTTGCGAGGCGCCGGAAAACTCCTGCCACCGCCCACGAAAAACGAGGGCGAGTATATAACCGCGCGCTTGAGGCTGGATTCGTACTCAGTGCTGGCTCACGACTTCTTCCGCACAGCACAGCACAGCATACATACCATCGCCCTCGACCTCGATCGCGATTGTTGGGCGGAAAACCAACCTAGCACAGGACAACCCCTCGCCATCAAACCCCAACCCACCCACCCGACAGAAGCAAGAAAGAATGTCCCTCATCATCCTCGGCGGCGGCATCATCGGCCTCTCGACGGCCTACTACGCCGCGCAGGCCGACCCCACCCGCAAAATTCAAATCGTCGACTCGGCCGCGGCCCTCTTCCAGTCCGCCTCGGGCTTCTCGGGCGGCTTCATCGCCAAGGACTGGTTCGCGGACGAGGTCACCTCGCTGGCCGACCTCTCCTTCCGGCTGCACCAGTCGCTGGCGGACGCGCACGACGGCCGCCGGAAATGGGGCTACAGCGCCAGCCGCGCGTTCGGCGTGACCATGGACGAGCTGGATGCGCACGGCCGCAAGACCGGCGGCAAGGTGCGCGGCGAGGATTGGTTGCTGTCCGGCACGAGTCGCGCGGAGGTCGCCAAGCAGTTTTCCCCGTCCGCTAGTCCTACCCAGGGGAAGGGGGAGAGGGATGGAAGGTTGGATGGCCACGGCACGCCGACGTGGATGAATCGCCCCGCCGAGTGCGTGGTCGAGGAGATCTCCAGTGACGCGGGGTGCGCGCAGGTGGACCCCAAGGCGCTGGTGGAGTGGTTGCTGGCGCAGTGTCGGGAGCGCAGGGTGGAGATCCTGCTGGACACCCGCGCGACGGGGTTCAAGGTCGACCGCGACGGCCGGATTGAGGCGGTCACGGCGGAGCAGCGCATGTCGGTGCACAGCACCCCCGTCGAGATCTCGTTGCCCTGCAAGGACGTCGTCATCGCCGCCGGGTGCTGGACCCCCCGCGTGTTCCAGACGCTCTTCAAGCGCAAGATGGCGGTCGGGATTAATGGACTGGCCGGGTACAGTGTCATCGTGCGCTCGCCGCGGTATACCCGCTCCGTGGCGCAGAAGGACCATTCGATTTTCTGCGCCCCCGGCCCGCAGTGGGAGTTTGCGCCGGAGATGCTCGGCCGCGTGAACCAAGAGGGGGTCCCCGAGATTTACATCGCGGGGCTGAATAGTGATCAGATGCCGTTGCCGGAGGTGGCCGGGGAGATTCCGAAGTTGCGGGATCAGAAGCAGGTGGAGCGGTTGCGGGAGGTGGCCAGGTTGTTGACCGGCAGCGATGCTTCGACGCAGAGTGAGTTGGAGATTGTGAGTGAGGGCTTGTGTTTCAGGCCGGTCTCGACGACCGGCTCTCCGATTATTTCATCAGTCACGGGGGCTGTGAGCAGCGCTGGCGGCAAGGTGTATGTCGCCAGCGGACATGGCCCGTGGGGAATCACCCTGGCCTTGGGAACCGGCCAGGTCGTTTCCGAGCTTCTGACGGGCAAGACCCCCAGTGCTGACATCAGCAAGCTGGCGCTGAAGCAGGATGTGTCTTTGCTCAAGAGCCAGCTGTAGATATGTGGTGTTTGTCCTATTAGCGTGTTTGTTTGTACTGTTGTACTGTTGTACTGTTTTACTGTCTTCTAGACCCTTTTGCATTATGACTGTACTCCAGCGCTGGACCAAGGTCGCGCTGATTTATGATAGAATATGTCATCGATTTTGAACTGTGATGCATGTCGCTCAGTACTGGCAGTCCTAAACCGATGAGCAAGTCGTGTTCGAAAGTAGGTGGATGTACTGTACATCTACAATTAACTTGAGTTGCCCCCAGAATTAGTTCATCGACCGGGTTGAGATTTCGATAAATGCACGGGTCCAGTATGCGTCTCAGGAGACCCGTTGGCAGGCTAAAAATAAACTGTTCCTGAGGCACTTGCGTCGGGAAGTGGAAAATATCCTTGACCACATCCACTAGCCCGCTATAGTCATAATGAGATGAGTAGTCGGCCTTGCTTTCTCCTCTACACAAGAAGTAGAAAGTCGTTGATCCCCAGAGTTAAGCACGCATCAATAGGTGGGTTCCTGACCGCCCGAGTTACAAAAACAGTTCTATATGGAGCGATATGGTTGTTACAAGAGTCCAATGCTGACCCCTTGGAATGCGTGACAAGCGAGGCACATGCTCAGAGCATTTGGCAATCAAACCCCAGACTAAGAGCTGAGCGGTCGAGTTGAGAATTTGAAGCAGGGCAGGCCCAGAGTCCTATGCATTGACAACCGAGGGTGTAACCGTCGATGGGTCGCTGCGATCCACACAATCCTGGAGTCCTGGGCATGAGCTCGGACTCCGACAACAGCAACAGCCACCCTGTCATCCTTCGTCGTCCCTCAAATGACTCCAGATCATCAAGTCGTACAAAAGAGATAGACCCGTATTCATGGCTTTGCAACAGCACCAGCCCTAATCACAACCCCGACCGAGTTAAAAGGAGCACCTCCTCCCAGGACGATGCCCACTATATCGCCACCGCAGCTCACAGTACAATTCTCGCAACATACCACTCATAGCTCCTCACAATGCCAACATCGCTGGTCACCGGTGGCACGGGCTTCATCGGCCTGCACGTCGTCAGGCTCCTCCTCGAGAAGGGAGAAACCGTCCACGCCACCGTCCGCAGCTTCAAGAACGCCGCCAAATGCAAGCCGCTCCTCGATCTCCAAGCCCAATCCCCCGGCAGACTGTTCCTTTTCGAGGCCGATCTGCTCCGTGATGGCTCCTTCCGCCCCGCGATGGAGGGCTGTAGCGTCGTCTACCACATCGCCTCGCCATTCCTGGCACCGCCGCAGATCAAGAACGGAGTGAAGGAATGCGTCGAGCCCGCTTTGCAGGGCACTCGCAACGTGCTGGACGCGGTAGACCAATGCGAGAGCGTGCACCGCGTTGTGCTGACCTCGTCGAGTAAGCCAGCGAGCCCCTCTACCGTGTCTATCCGCCCCCTAACACACAGTCCCACCCCGGCAGTCGCAGCAATGTACAGCGACAGCATCGAAGTCACCCAGATGAAAGACAGCACCCTCAGCGAAGCCTACTGGAACGACACCGCCACCGAAACCAACAACCCGTACCACTACTCCAAGGTGGCCGCCGAACGCGAAGCCTGGAAGCTGCACGACAGCCAGCCCCACAAACGATGGGACCTCGTCGTCATCAACCCGGGCCTCACCCTGGGCCCCCCGCTCACCACCGAGTCCACCTCGGGTAGCCTGTTCACGATTGAAAACATCTTCTCCGGCCAGAACAAACAGGGCACCCCCGAACTGTACTACCCTGTAGTCGACGTGCGGGACGTGGCGGCCGCGCACGTCAAGGCCGGGACGAGCAAGACGGCCACCGGTCGGTACCTGATTGCGGGCGACCGCACGGTGGGGCTATTGGAGATGGCGGAGATCGTGCGGCCGATGCATAAAGATTTCAAGGTGTTGCCGACGCGGAATCTCCCGAAGCTGATGGTGTACCTGGCGGGCCCGTTTAGCGGGGTGTCGCGGAGCTGGGTGTCGAGGAATATCGGGATTGATTTCAAGGTGAACAACAGCCGGAGTGTGCGGGAGCTGGGAATGGAGTATTTGCCCGTCGAGCAGGTGATCAAGGATCAGTATGAGGCGTGGATGAGGATGAAGGGGGGGAAATAGGGCTAGCTTCTATGCGTTGTCACACTTACCAGAATATCATTGCGTCAATGTGAAAGCGAGTGAACTCTTAATAGATAGTTTCTGGAGTAAATTTATACTCGCTACGCTACATTCTATGACCACGCCCATCCGAAAACAGCCAAGCTAGGCCGGCGTCAAACACACCCTGGTCCCGTTGCGCGAACACACAGTCAGCGTCAGCGACTCCTCCCACGGGCCCGGATCGCGACTCTCCAGCCCCGCGAACTCCTGCGCCAGCCGCACCGTCACATACGCCACCTCCGTCAACGCATACTGCTGCCCGATGCAGATGCGCGGGCCCCCGTTGAACGGGAGGTACTCCCATCGCGGCTGCAGCCGGCCATCCTCCCACCGTTCCGGCCGGTAGACATCCGCGTCGTCCCCGTAAAAGTCCCTCCGCCGATGCATGGCATACACATTATACGCGACGATCGTATCCTGGGGCACGAAGACCGGCGCGCGTCCATCCGGACCACCTCCAACCGGCAAGACCGTATCCCTGACGGCGACGCGATCGTTCATCGGGACGACGGGGTGGAGTCGGAGCGCTAGCATCACAACCAATTCAGCATCAGCCCTTTCGCCTTCCCACCCAGCCAAACCCAACCCAAGGAAACTTGGAAGCAAACTCACACTCATTCACGCAACACCGCAGATACCTCAACCCCCTCAGCTCCTCATACGAGGGCAACCGGCCCTCCAACGCCGTCACCACCTCCGTCCGCAATTTCGCCCACACCGCGGGATGTTTCGCCAGCATGAAGAACATGTTACTCAGCAGACTGGCGGTGGTATCCCTCCCGGCGAGGAGCACATTCATGAGCTCATCGAGGATGCGGCGCTGATCGCTCGTTCTTGAGGCTAGCTCATGCGAGAAGACATACTTCTCGGTCTTCCTGGCCCTGGCCCCACTCCCCCTCCCACTCCCACTCCCACCGTCCCGAACAGCCCGAACCGCCTCGTCCACAAACGGCAGCGCAAACTCCCGACAGATCCGATTGCACTGCTCCGCCTTCTTATCGTAGTAGAACCGCCCGAACGGCCCCAGGATCGCGCGCACCGTCATCGCCTCCTGGGCATAGTTGAACGCCGCGGCGAAATCGAGCTCGCTGCGCTGCATCGTCAGACTGCCGACGGACTGCCCGAACAAGAAATCCGTAGCCGAGTCGATGGTGTACCGGAAGAAGAGATCCTGGAGGTCGACGGCCGTGGCCCCGTCGCGGGGGATGTGCGCGAGCAGGGCGGGGATCAGGGCCTCGAAGGCGGCGAGGTCGGCGACCTGGTCCTTGGTGAAGTTGGGGCGGATGAGCGCGCGCGAGGCGGCCCAGTGCGCGCCGTCGGTGTCGAAGATGCCCTCGCCCAGCAGGGGCTGGAAGATCGGGCGGCGGTGCGCCAGGCCGTAGTCCCTGAAGCGGGTCGAGAGGATCGTTTTGATGTTCTCGGGCTCGATGGTCACGATGATGTATTTCAGCAGGCGCCGCGAGGCGAACGTGTGCCCGTGCTGCTGGAACCGCTGCGTGATGGATTCCAGGGCTTGGTGCCGCTTGGCCGTCGTGATGCCGCGGTAGATCTCGTCCAGGCCCAGGATCGGGTCTTTGTTGCTGTAGTGCGTGATGGGCTTGCAGCCGTGCTGCTGGGCGAATTGCCGGCGGGTGTGGACGCGGTGGAGCCGGGTGAGCAGGAGGATGCTGGTGAGGGTGAGGGTGAGAAGAAGCAAGGCTAGCCGGGTGGGCGGGAGGTTGAGGAGGGTCTCCATGTTGGGGTTTGGGGTGTGCCAAGGGGAGGAGGGAGTGGTGCTAGAGATGAGATGGTGGAAGTACTTATCATTGTGACCGGAGTAGGGCTCGGAGAGTATTGCTGTCTCGACCGGTGGTCATGCAGGGGGAGTCAGTCAATGCTCCGAGAATATGCAGGGATGTTGATGCTGTGTTTCGACTTGGGCGGGGATGCAGGCCATTGAAGAGAGTGAGATGTGATTGACAACTCGAAAGCTACACGCAGGCAATAGGTTTTCCCTGAACGTCAAGCCCAAGCTACCAGATACTGTGCTAAGTGAGCTCAGACGATGACTACCAGCTGCATGGTCTTAACATGTATGAGGTTGATTGTAATATCTAGATAAAGTCATGTTCCAGCACCTTATTAGGGCTGCGGGATCAACAACTGCCTCTTTGATCCACGCATGACTACAACTTGCGTGGCGAATAGACAAGAGTGAAGTCCAGTTGAAGAGGTAGGTAATTGGCAATGTAGGTAATTGGAAAGGTAGGTAAGTGGAAAGGTAGGTAAAGTAGGTTACGGGAAATATTCTGAGTCTCGGGATCAGACGTCTACTCCTTGGCAGATCAGCTGCTGTCAAAATGTGTAACCTGAGATACTAGACAGGGAGTATTGAATCCTCCATTGGCAGCGATTAGCTTGTCGCACGAATGTGACACATTGGGCTAACTACTAGGCCTTGAGGTCATGATAGCAAGAGCATCTCGCATTTCAATGAGGGAGCTCCGCTTACTAACCACCAGTACATGAGAGGCTTTTGGGTGACTGTTATGCACAGATAATCATGATGCGAACCGGCACCTGGAGTATAAACTAACTGGAATCTCTTGGCCGAATCAATGGACTCGTTGGTTTTAGGGCAAGTGAAGAACTAATATTGTAACTATCAATGGTATAAGCCACTCTTCTGCAACAGAATGACTAGCAGAATACAATGGCGCAAGCAAGGGCAAAATGACTTCGTCAATCCTCCTCCCATTCGCGCAGCAATTCGAGAATGTCTTCCCTTTCAGGTGCCCATCTGTTCTTCCAGGCATAGTCCAGTGCCGTAGCCCCGTACACATTCTCCATGTTGAGGTCCGCCCCGCGTTGGAGAAGCTGAAGTATCATTTCTTTGTCAATGCGGCTTTCAGAAACAGCTATCATCAGGGCTGTTTTCCAGTACCCGCCATAGGCATTGATGTTTGCTCCGTTGTCAAGAAGAAGAATCACGACATCAGTACGTTGAAAACGTGCTGCTATCATCAGAGAAGTGAACTCGTAGATGCCAGTCTCCTTGTGGTTCACGTCGGCCCCCCTTTCAAGAAGCAGGGCAACCGAGTCCCGCGACCCCGACCAAACCGCATGCATCAACGGTGTTCTCCCCAGGCTATCGGTAGCATGCACGTCGGCCCCATGGTCCAGCAGCATGCAAACCACCTCATCCTGCCTCTGCTTGATGGCAGACTTCAAAGGCGTAATCTCGTCTCTAGCTGTATTGACGTCTGCTCCACTTTCAAGGAGCATACGAACCACTTCCTCCGCGCACGACTGCTTGATCGCGAGGGTTAGGGCCGTCTCCTTCCTGTCGTAGGTCACGGCATTGGGGTCTGCCCCTCGAGCGAGCAAGCGCGAGACAAGGTTACAATTTCCCAAAGCAATGCTGAGCAATAATGGCTTGTGGGACCCTTCATTGACGTCGGCCCCATGCGCCAGGAGGATGTCAACCGCCTCATCTCCATGTGTCACTATGGCATAGGAAAGCGCCGTACGTCCGTCGCACCACATGTCTATCCCCGCTCCGTGTGCGAGAAGTAGCTCCACGCAGGATGTGCTCGTAGTTCTTGCAGCTATTATCAGCGCCGTCTCCCCCCACGAGTCCAGCGCGTTGACATCCGCGCCACGCTCCAGCAGGAACTCGATCCCCTGCTCACTACCACAATAGGCAGCGTAGTGTAAGGCCATGCGCCCCCATCTCGAGATTACCGTGTCAATATGCCGGCCGGAGGGCGACAGAGCACCGGCGATCTCGAAGTTCTCGTGGCCCACGGCAAGTGCGTAGGCAACATGTGTCATATTGGCGTTCTCGGCCAGAGTCATTCGATCGTAGCGATCGGTGGTCACATCATACTCGTTTATCCCATATGGCCAGATCTTGTCATCGGGGTGGTTTCGGTCGAAGCTATGTTGCGGGTAGGGCACTTGGTAGTAATCAAACTGGAAGCTTTCCTCGGTCTCTATACATAATGTGCGCCGGATCTCCCAGATCTCCTCGCTGTTATCGTAGTCAGGGTCACGCATCGGGTCGTATTCCGCTGCTCGCTTAGCGGTCAGTAGGTTGCCATTTTGAGCGGCCAAAAGCAACGCTCCGATCCAGTTCTGGTTGTGCTTGTACAGAGAAAAAAGCCACCGTTCGTATAGCTTTCGACAGGTCCGCACGAGTGCATTCAAGTCGGCTGGCCACCGCTGGAGCTCTTCTATGATGGACAGCATTAGCTCCGGCGGAAGATCTGTAAGCTTCGCCATTGCGATGAATGGAAGCCTTGCTTGATGGTAATTGACAAGGTATGGATGGCGAGGTTGATGGAGATCTGTGCAATCGGTGGTCGAGGCGAATTGAGAAGTGATGAAGGCCAAGTCAGTCCTTCTTCGGAGACGGACTGTTGAGTAGCCTTGGAGAAGTGGTATCAGACTCAACGAGGTGACTCACTTGCAAGTTCTTCACCTTCCGTGGTCGATGACAATTTGTATACCCAACATCGATGTCATTCTTTCGTACTAGAGCAGCTGTATAATATATACTCGTCTCCATGTACCTTCCGTAACACTGATCCGCACTAAGCTTTCTCATACGCTTTGTATTCAAGATAAGATCTCCCTCTGAGGCATCTGTACGCTTTGTAAGTGTGCGCTTTGTATCTATATGCTCTTTGTGTGAGACAAAATCTCCCTCCAATGCATCTATGCGCTGCATATCGAGAAAAAACACTCTTCATTTGACTCATTGGCATGGTGTAGGTGGTGTAGAAGCAGCAGCTAGGAGCAGTTCATTCTTCTCGGGGGATTAGAAATTCTCACATCAGATGCGATCAGATTCTGCAGCTCACTCAAATGTAGAGTTTTTAATACTACCTCTGGCTATAACTGACAAGGGCTGTTGGTGCCTTCTAGATATTAAACGAGTAGTCCCGATATACTACCCTCCCCGGCCAATAAATCACAACTACAGCGAAGAGACTGAGAGAATGATAGACTTCCAACATTATCAACAGAGAAGCTTGTTGTAGAAGATTGATATGTCAACATTAGGGTTTAGGCGTATTTGAGCAGTGTACTTACATAGAATAAGGCTTTCATCTCGACTTGGAATTGTGGGCAAGTTGTTGGGCGAAAATGTATACATTCGGGTTCACGTGAGTTGACAATTGGGAATTGACGATGCTTCATGGTGTACGCAAGCAACTTCAAGACCTTGTCCAGCTGCGATAATTAGACTGAATACATACCTCCATACTCTGACGCTGCATTTACCTCATTGAAGAGATTTCAAAGTCGTTCAAGAAATAAGATGCAATGGATTGATCATTGATGATCATTTCGGAACTGGAAGAACAGTCGTTCCACCCGCATTGCTGGCGGAAACCTGATGCCTCAGGCACCATGCCCCTGAAGATCAGCTTAACCGTTTGAGGCCAAAATCAGCTTCTCTTCAACATCGCCCTAATCAATAGTTGGTGGCGCAGTGTTCATGGGGCCGGTAACTTCCAGGCACAGGTCTTCCTCACAGCAGAAAACACAGCGTCAAGCCCCTGACTCCAACAACACAGTCAGACGGCCATCGTGCGTGCTTGATTGGAAGAAAATTCTATTCTCCGGACTTCTGAAGCAGAGTTTAAATTGCAAGCTGCCCCGTGATCACTTCACTGGTGGATAAGAAGTGTCCGCGAGGACTATAACAGTCGTCGTTATAGAGGCCAAATCAAGCCGAACGGGGTGGGTCCTTTCGAGAAGAACGACAGCCCGCGCCAAAGACGCTAACTCAGAGGGTTTCTTTCTGATTGCTTCTGCAAGATGCACACTCCGGCCCGTTCATGCAGGTCAATCACGCGGTTTCCGGCTGAAGAGCAACCAGGCTTGAACAAGCATCGCGCTTTAGCCTCGAATGCCGGGCGGGTCCATCCGGGAGGGGTTGACACCAATGCTCAAGGAAATTATCACGTCTACCGGTGCCTCTATCTGTTGCAGACGCGTGGCAATTGGCAAAGAAAGAAGCCAATGCGCGTTGGAAGTTGGGCCGTGTGCAATCCGGTTGCATTCCTTTTCTCGCGCGGCCTTGCCCTATCTTCCTCCGACGGAGCAACGTTTGTTGGGGGCCGCCCCTGGAACCCCATCCAATCCAGCCCATTGTCAATCCTTGGCCTGAAGCTAAGAGCAATGGGTATAGCCTTCAATTCTCTACTTCCTCAATTTGGCCCGGGGATTTGCTTTTTCTCCGCTCTACCGGAGTGGCTCGTATCACTCGGACTTTCTACGCCAGACCCCGACGAATTCCCCTCCCGCAAGGGATAAGGGGAAGAATTTCTATAAAAGGATGGCTGATCGCCACTCCTCGAGATATCCCCAGGATCCAGGCAGATCATTCCCTATCCCAATTCCCCCGTTCTTTCTCTTCCGCTCACGATGCTCTACACCCGGGAACTAGGGGTTGTCGCGGCTCTCGGCCTGCTGGCTCAGGCTGCCCCCGCGCCGATCGAGCGTCGATGTATGTGCTTGGGTCAACCTAGTCTTATTCCACAACGCTGATCCTGTCATAGCTGTCTCCACCACCCTGCTGGACCAGATGGACCTCTTTGCGCAGTACAGCGCAGCCGCTTACTGTTCGACCAATATCGACTCAGCAAGCACGGCCCTCTCCTGCTCTGCTGACAACTGTCCCCTGGTTGTGGCTGCTGCTCCCATCGTGCTGGATGAGTTCAACGAGTAGGTCTTCTAATCATATAAGACCACTGGCCGAGTCGGCTAACAGACGGCAGAACTGCTGAGTTCGGCGACACGGCGGGCTTCGTTGCTGTTGACTCGACCAACAAGGCTATTGTTGTCGCCTTCCGTGGCAGCTCTGATCTCTCCAACTGGATCGCCAACCTCGACTTCGGCCTTACCGACGCGAGCAGCATTTGCACTGACTGCGAGATTCACAGTGGCTTCTGGAAAGCCTGGGAGACAGTTGCCAGCACTATCACCTCCAAGGTCGAGGCGGCTGTCACCACTTACTCGGGCTACGACCTTGTCTTCACCGGTCACAGCTTGGGTGCTGCCCTCGCCGCGATTGGTGCCACCGTCCTCCGCAACGACGGCTACACCGTGGACCTGGTATGTTCCTAGTCTAGCCCACCCCGCCTCAGGCTCGATCTCAGTGCTGATGATGATAGTACAACTTCGGCCAACCTCGCATCGGCAACCTCGCCCTGGCCGACTACATCACCGACCAGAGCAAGGGCAGCAACTACCGCGTCACCCACACGGACGACATCGTCCCCAAGCTCCCGCCGAAGCTGCTCGGCTACCACCACTTCAGCCCGGAGTACTGGATCACCAGCGACACCGACGTGACCGTCACGACCTCGGACATCACCGAGGTGACGGGAGTGGACTCCACCGCGGGCAACGACGGGACGCTCCTGGACAGTGTCGCCGCCCACAAGTTCTACTTCGAGTACATCAGCGCGTGCGATTAGTCGCGCTACTGCTCCCGGCGATGCGGACGCTAGCCGCAGTAAATAGGGATAGGAGTAATAATTGACGCGCTCGCGTCGCCTGTACATACTTCATATCTTGGATATAATTGGAATGAATTCACGTTACAACATTTGTCTCCTATTCGTACCGTCTTCCCAGCAAAAGAGAAATTATTTTCGACGGTCAACCGTCCGCCGAAGTACCCCCGACCCACGTTTCGCGGGTTGTCGCAGATTGATAGCCGAAACCACGGATTGGAGCCTGCTGGGGACCCACTCTTAACTCTTAACAGTCATAGACTTAAATCGGGTTAACTCAGTTGAACGCTTCGAGAAAAGAAAAGGGGGCAAGTCTCCGCTTGCTTTTGCCCGTGGAGTTTTGCAAGGACTGCTTCACTATCACCAACAATCTGATCAGCTTTCGGCATTTCCAACATGCTGTACTCCGTACTGTACTCCCACAATTGCGCCTGACGCTTGGACCCCCACTCCCGGCAAAACCCTTGCTACGCTGCTGCTGCTGCGCTAAGCTCAGCCGATCTGCACCTGCGAGCACCAGAACATGTGAAAATGCGCCCAAGACCATCGAGAAATTCTCAAACGGTCCAGCTCGACGATGTGTTAGGGCAACATGTAGCACGGCGCTAGCAAGGGGGTTGGAACGTTAACACAGTAGTCTAGTTTAGTCTAGTCTGCAGTCGAACAGAGGGGCACTGCCGGAGATCCGGGCCATTAGCCCTAACGGGCAGCTTCGCCGAGCGCTCGCCCATCCACGCCGCGTTTCTTCAAAGTCCGCACACTTAGTCTAGTTTAATTTACGCGTAGTCCAAACAGTGGTTTAGTCGCTGTCGATCGGAGGGGTAACGGCCAACACGTGGGAAGTTTGATCAGGACTGATTTGTGGAGAATCTCGGCACTTGCGCTGGGAACCTTGATTTTGGGGGATGGCTCACTGGTCGCGGTTCTTGGCTTGTGAGGAGGTGGTTGCTGGGCCGTGTGGTGGGCACGTGGTTGGATGTATACTTCCATAGGATGTATATCGGGCAAATGCTTGCGCTTTCACGTGCTTGATGCAGTGCGGGGGTTGTGTTTTCCTTTCTGGGATGGCAGCGTGCAGTAGTGGAATGTAATCCTGGTGTCTGGAGAGGCGTTGGAGATAGCTGTGGCCTCGGAAGATGGTCTTTGCTGGGCAGCTCCGTGCTGCGTCCGTGTTGGAACCGTGCTGTTTATGCGGGGTTGTTATGTCGCTCCAGTGGATTTGCGGGTTCTAACCACTGAAGAGCTTGCGTCGCTAGAAGGGAGTGTCGGTGGTGGAAGTAGGAATCTGCAGCTTGAGAATAGGGCAGTGGAGCTAGGTACATGCACCTTGCAAATGAGGGCAGGGGCGCAAAAGTACCCATAAATGCTGGTCCCCGTAGATATGGAGTACTCGGGTGTCTGCAAGGTCATAGATAATGGCGTTATCAGTCGAGACTTGTGATCGATGTTGCTTGCATTCGCCCGACGGCCGTCCGCGGGAGCACCGATGACCCATGCAGCGACAAAGCAGCAAATATCTGGCTTATCAGTCGGCAAGGATTATGATAGTGATCATGACCGACTCTGCTACTGCTCTACCCGGTTGCTAAGGATTGGATGCTCCGAGGGAGCTTGTTATGAGCCAAGGTATGCGAGGTTCGTACCTGCGTGCGACAGATTGTATAGATGGAACAATCGCTAAAACCTCCGCATCAGATGTGATCATCTCTGTGGACTTGGAAACTCCATCGTCGCCTGGCGAATTTATAGATCTAAGATCCTCACTCGTCTTTGCTCTAGTTGAGCTGCAGTGATAGTCATTCTTCACTAGCTAAATGCTTACTCGAGCCACAGAGCTACTTGTGCTTTGAACCTGAGATGGACGCTTCCCAGTGTCGCAGCTGCGTCGAACTTCCATGGTTGACAAACGAAATTCCGTTGTCCTTGTCTATGGAATTTCTTCGCAATGTGCTCACCGTCATCATCAGTGCATCGCAGCTTTGCATCCACTGTACTGCTACCGTGGTCAAGTCTATCGATGTCGGAAGGGTGACGCCGAGGATGACTCTTCCCACCACGCTTCGCAACTATAACTCCCAGCACTCGTTCGCCACGAGGGGATTTCGTCTCATCAACTACAAACTCATCTCATCACTATAATCACTCAAAACGACAGTAATCATGGCAGAAACTACACCTCACCGAATATTTTGCATCCCGGAGCTGGTGGAGCAAATCCTCCTCCAGATGGATATGCAGACCTTACTCATCTCAACACGAGTATGTTACCTCTGGCACGACCTGATCAGCAAGTCACAAGCGATGCAGACAAGCCTATTCTTCCAGCCAGCTGAAAACACCCCCCAAGGTGAGCGACGCACCATCAACCCGCTCATCATCCAGAAGATATGGCCCGAATACCTCACTTCTTCCAACACCTGTCATAGAGAATATTACGAGCGCCCCGAGGCCAGTTGGAGAAGGATGCTCCTTCATCAGCCGCCAACGGCGAAACTGTGCTTGCTCAACTACATGGGAGACTATTACTTCCCCATCACTCCCCATGGAGCAGGGTATATGTGCGCCTCACTGTGCCGGCGTGAAGGATTCCCTCGCCTGCAGGAGCTGCAGAAGGAACTGGAGGCCAGCGTCCTGAGGACGTTTGACGCGCGGAGGAAGATCTTCGTCGAGGGGTCGCCCCAATATTCTGGGGGTCGCTTCTGGGGCATCATCCGACCAAGATCTGGGTCCCATAAGGCCGAAGCAGGTTCGTACGAGACGTGCGAGCTGCTGACCTGTCGGGGAGCTTCACACGAGGCCGGGGCTGTCTCGGAGGGGGCCGAGCAACAGGTTGAACCCACTGCAGGCTCGTTGTTTTGGATCGCCCTTCCTTGGGCCTTGGCTAGAATCAAGGACCGCTTTGGGAACTACCACCGACCTGACCGGCCCCTGAAGGGCTACCATTACTACGTCGGCTTGGATGAGGTCCCGATCTTTCCTTTTGCGCAGGGTTGGCGACGGTATTACGACGATATGGAACGTGATCATAAGTTGCAGCAGGATGACTGAAGAGAGCCCCGCAAGGAACTGGGTGTGTTGAGGTGTTCGAGGAGATTGTATGCGTGGAAGAATATTTGCTGACAAAAGAGGCAGTGAGGTCGAGACGAATGGGACATGGTCTAGTAGAGTGTATGGTTGTAGAATTGCTTGTTTTTATCTGGCGTTGTGAGTTTCACCTGGGAAGATGTGAATGACTTGCTGATCCTCAAAATTACCCCTTGTCGTCGCACTTGGATTAGCATGAAACTACTCGGCATCGAGCGCGATGATATTGCGGCGGATGGTTTTGCTACCGAAAGGACTGGTCTGAGTATTAGTTAATGACATTGGTATGGTCGGTCGTTCATTATGAGCTTTTCTTAGGAGGAGAAAGACTTAGTACGTATCCACTCTTAGCCCTGATCCATCACACAAACTTTTTATTTCGAATTCAAGTCTCACTGTCTATTGTCCTCAATTCCCAGTATCATCTCTGTACTGTACTACTTTCTGGCATCATGGCCGTCACTATACCGCGCCTTATTCTTTTTTTAATTCGACAGGCTTGTACTCGCGCCAAAGCTGCTTTCTTTCGCCCCCCGGTTTCACTGAGAACGCTTTACCGAATACATCCCCGTTTTTCTGAACATATTCCACATGGTTCCGAACAAACCTCCACATGTTCGCTGACCTGTTGGGCGTCAAGTTGATTGACTTGGACATGTTGCCAATCACCGTAAATCGCGCCCGCGCTCGTTCCATCGTCCATGTTGGTTGAAACCCCAGGTTCACCAGCACATGGTAGTGAATACCCTTTTCTTCATGTCGCTCTCGACATCCGAAGTATTTCGCCTGCGGCGCAAACTGCTTCAGCGCGTCCCTGAACAACCGCTCAAACTCCTCCTTGTCGTCAATCGTACACTGCGAGTACGTAACAAACACCCAGAACGAATGAACACCCTCCTTTTTCTTCATCTCGCCCCTTAACGAGTACCCAGAATCCTGCGGCAACTTGTCGACTCGAAACCTCGAATACATCTTTGATCGAACAAACACTCAACCTCACCAAGGGCGCCTGCGCCCTTCTTATCCACAAACTACCCCGCTGCCACCTGGCAGCGCTTACCGATTAGGGAAACTTGCTTCCGCATACAAATAGTTTCCTATTCAGGAACTGGGTCCCCCTTTTCTTTACCTGCCGCCCGGCAGAACGGTTCTGTAACGTACCACAGTACAAGCTGTAAATAAGCGTCTCGCTTATTACTTAACTGAGTGAGTGGGCCCCTCCTACCGGTATCGTGCCTTGCCGCAAGCGGCAACTTTTCACTAACTAGTAAAACGTGTTTAGTAATAAGCGGGATGCGAGGTTACTAGGTGTACTGTGGTACATTACGGAACAGTTCTGCCGGGCGGCAGGTAAGGAAAAGGTAAACCCAGTTCCTGAATAGGAAACTATTCCTAGTCCCCTTCCCGTTTGGGAAGGAAGTGGGCTGTGATTGGTTCTAAACCAATCCCGTCTAGGAAAACCGACATAGAACCCAGAGTTAGGAGCGGAAGCATCGGTATATATCCATGATGAGCCGGTGGGTCAGAAGCGTGGAAACGGACCGCACTGTACAACGCTATGCTGCGAGTCTGGAGTGGACGAGCGGTGAGCCGCGAAGCGTTGATGATTTATGACGGTAGGTTGCAATAGCACTAGGTTGTTTGTTCTGACGGGACGAAGAACAGGATAAGGAAAACGTACACCCGTCAGCGGGTGTACAACAGCAACAGGGGGAAGTGAGGCGGAGTGTGGCCGGCGACAGGCAGGTTAGGGCCAAATGGCAGAGGAGGCACGAAGCTTGGCGGGAGCGATGCGTTGACTGACGATTGTAGGTAATGAGTACAATGGAAGGGTGCAGTAAGACTGGGATCAAACAACAGGGTGTTCGTGTTTGGGATTTACCCGCATGGGTTGAGGCGTTGGTCGCGTATATCTATATTTCTAAGTGCGGGTAGCAAGTAAAGTGTGCAACGTCCTTTAAGAAGGCTGGAAGAGAAAAAGGAGTGGCCTTGGAGCAAGGCTAAGGTTTGCACAAGCTGCGTGATAGATGAAAATTTCTTATATGAAAGTTGGCTCTCAAAAACCTGGGAGGATTTGTTGGAAAAAAGCAACATTCAGTTTGACAAAGAGTGTGAGCTCCAGCTTGCTGTAGCTCTGTGCCTCCTCGCACGACACCTCGTCTTATGTACCATTGACCAACGCCATCTTTCACATTCCAGACATGGAGAAGCCATAAATGTCCGCTTCATGCGGGCCGAGCACCAGCATGTTGCTATCAAATAATCTTTGTCCGACCCGGTCTATGATGAAGAGCATAGAGATAGCAAGTTGAGCCTGGATTGTTACTGGTGCGCTCTGTTTGTACCTTTTATCCTGTTTGGTGTATTTGACCCGTGAGCCCTGTTTGGTCTGATTGATAATCTGTGTTTGTTTGGTTGTTGCGGCTCCCCCGCTACACCGCTTCTCTATTCGGCCGACACACATCGGAAAAGTATTCCTAGCGAAAGCCTCAGCAGTCAGGTGTCGACGGGACTCTCCGCCCGTGGATTTCCCCCTCCGCATCTTCTCTTCCTGACCATCATTCCTCCACTCTCTACCGGAATATTACCATCTTCAACCCCACCTTCTGCTATCCCCGCATCTGACCCAAGATCCTTATTTTTCAACCCTGTTTATCCTAGCTGCAATCTTGTCGAGCCGTTTTGCGATAAATCCCCTTGACCTCCTGATCATGTTCCGACAATGAGTTTCATCCCTCAGTTTGGCAATCTGCCCACCATCCAGACCCGCAAAGCTCTTCTCCTCCTAGATCTCCAGAATGACTTTGTGCGATCGAATGGAGCCCTGCACGTTCCTAACACCGCTGACTTCCTAGAGAACATCCCTCAACTCGCCAGCGCCTTCCGCCGAAATGGGGATGTGGTGTGGGTGCGCTCCTACTACCAGTCCTCGCAACCTTTGATCAGCCCATCGGACGGCCAGGACCTGGTGGTGCTCAGTCGACAGGATCAGGACGCGCGAGCGAAGCGTACATCAGAGGATGAACCCGTAGATGGCGACTGGAAGATGGACGATGGCCACACCATCGACGAGGAGGCCTTCCTTTCAGCCAAGACACCGCGGTGCTGTGTGCCGCAAACGCCCGGCGCGCAGTTCCCCGCACCCGTCTTCGCGGCCATCGACTCAGGATTAGATACCCTGATCGTCAAATCGGGGTACTCCGCGCTCGGCGACCACAATCTCATCCTCTCCTTCCGCACCCGGTTCATCACCGAGCTCTATCTCTGCGGGTCGCTATCTAATGTGTCCGTCTACGCCACCGCTCTCGACGCCGTGCGACATGGCTTTTCAGTCACTCTGATCGAGGATTGCCTCGGGTACCGCAGCTTCCCCCGCCACGAGGAGGCAATGCGTCGCATGGCGGACATCTTCGGGGCCAGCGGGATCACCACGCAGGAGCTGCTGGAGGAGCTGGATTGGGAGGAGACCGACGCGATCGCCAGAAGTGGCAACCCCCGGCCGGTGCGAACGGCGAATCGTGCTGAAATTGAAGGCGTCATGGACGGACTGGGGTTCGGGTCCAAAGCCCGATCGGCGGCCAGGGATGAGAGCCCGGAGGCTTTGGTTGGCAGCGGCCGGCGCCGCAGGATCGAAGATCTCATGGCGGAGTTCTCCGACCACGACAACCAGAGCCTGCAGGAGCTGGCTAATATCGCCCGCGCACGAGTGCGGAATGCATCGGAGGCGCAACCCGCGGATTCTGGCGCTGTCAAGGCCCGTACACGTGTCCGTCGCACGAAGAGACCGGATGCCAAGGGCGATTCAGGTGCGCGCACAGACTCGCGCCGAAGCGGGAAGTTGAAGAAACGCGATGTGTATAGGCCGGGCGACGTGATCGGTGAGGGGGACGCCAGAATTATATACGATTTGGAGCTACCAGAGAAAGCCTTCGAGAAGATTCGGGATGAGGTAGCTTGGCAGAAGATGTATCATCTATCTGGGCAGGTCCCGCGGTTGGTGGCGGTGCAGGGGCGTGCGCTGGATGATGGATCCATTCCGATCTACCGTCACCCAGCGGACGAGTCGCCGACACTGCAACCGTTCACTCCTACGGTGGACGAGGTACGGGTTGTCGTCGAGCGTATTCTGGGCCACCCACTCAACCATGCACTTATCCAACTGTATCGAGACGGACAAGACCGCATCTCGGAGCATTCGGACAAGACTTTGGATATTGTGCGGGGCTCGTTCATATGCAATGTCAGTCTTGGTGCTCAACGAGTGATGGTGCTGCGGACCAAGGGGAAAGAGTCGGAAGGCACTGAGAGCGGTCGCCTTACGCAACGCATCCCTATGCCTCACGAATCACTGTTCATCCTTGGGGAGAAGACGAACATGCGATGGCTGCACGGGATTCGGCCCGATAAGCGGGCCACGGACGAGAAGTCATCGGAGGAGCGAGCGTATGGCGGAAAGCGGATCTCCCTGACTTTTCGTCACATTGGCACCTATGTCAACCCAACTGGAGACGCGATCTGGGGCCAAGGTGCAGTGTCCAAAACTCAGGATCGTGCTCATGCAGTGATCCACGGGCACCCAGAGGAAACTGAGTGCTTGATTCGGGCGTTTGGGCAAGAGAACCACGCGACCGAATTTGACTGGGATGGGGTCTACGGCGCGGGCTTCGATGTTGTCAACTTTGTTACGGCTACGACCGCCAAGCTTGTGGTCGGGCCGGACCCTGTGGCTAATCTTCGGGTGCGTTTGTGTCTGGACGAGAACGGACTTCGCTACGACGCGACCACCGTCACGGGCGCAGATCTGCCGCTTTACATTGATGGTAATGGAGCTGAGGTGGCTGGCGATTCCAACATCCTGGCTTATTTTGCCACTCACGCCTCGGAGCTCGTGCAACCGGGCGTGGACGCTCTGCGCGGGGGGAGCCTCCTAGTCGAGATCGACCAACTCCTAGCCACCTGGCGCAATCAGATGGAGCGATCGGGGAGCGTCCAAATTTTGAATAGGTGGGAAGCAGTATTCCAAGCACAGCCATTCGCAAGTGGTGCCTCCTTTGGAATCGATGACTGTTCTCTCTGGCCCGTTCTTTGGGAGATTCAGGCAGCCGGCCAGTTTTCCAGCACTACGTACCCAACCCTGATGCAATATTACACCCGAGTGGAGAAGCGTGGAATAGTGAAAACCACGCTGGAGGAGATAGCACAAGGACCCTCAGGCCCGAATTTACAGATGTCCAATTCTCGATTACGAACATAAGCGAGCCAGTTCAGATACCATTGCAATGCACCAACTACCACTATACATAATAACTCCTGTCCTTGATCCCCCCACGCCTTGCCTTCACATTCGTTCAATCACAAACACGTCCCCTCAAAGCTCGTCGTCGTCAAGACATTCTTCAACGACGCGCCTGTGCAAACCACCGCCTTCAAGAACGCCTCAGCCACGACCTCGGCGCCCGCCGGACTGGTGTGGGTGTGATCGATGGGGAAGTACGAGTTGACGGTGGCATTACCCAAGGTTTCATAGATGCTATCCACGTAGGACCAGTGGTCCACGTACCCGACGCCAGCCACCTCCGCGGCCAGCTCGGCGTACTCGACGAAGCGCGTGGGGGAGTCGACGAAGGTGCCGGTCTCCCAGGGGTTGTTGGGGGTCTGGCTGCTGAGGATGACGTTGGCGCCCTTGGCGGTGAACAGCTTGGCGGCGTTCTCCAGGTAGGCTGGGAAGGTGAGGATGGTCTCGTTGACGCCGTCGTAGACGCTGTAGCAGACCTCGGCCCCGGTGCCGGAGCAGTCGGTGCGGCCGTTGTCCGTGGACAGCGAGCCGCCGTCGTTGTGGCCGAACTCGACGATCACGTAGTCGCCCGCCGTCACCACCTCGGCGATGTTCTCGAACCGACCCTCGCGCGTGTACGAGCGCGCGCTGCGGCCCGCGATCGCGTCGTTGACCACCGTCGCGGAGAGGTAGCTGGCGATGTACTCGCCCCAGCCTGGGTCGGTCAGCGGCGATCTCCAGAGTGTTAGGAGGGGTTGGACATACCGTTGGTGCCGGACCCGCCACCATTCTTGGCCATGGTCGAGTCACCCGCGAGATAGACCGTCGTGGCGAGGGTAGAGGGGAGGAAGAAGAGCGGTGCGAGAGCGGCGGTCTTCATTGCGGCGGTGTTGGCTGTCAATTTTCTCTGTGTGAATGATAAACTGAACTCATACAACCGAGTGCCAACCCCCTTATATACCCCCAACTCCAGACCAATACGTGGAAAATCCCATTCAACCCATCCCATCCCACCCGGACAATTTCCTTTCTATCGACCTCGGCCATCGCACCAGAACCAGCGCGTCAAACACCCCCAGTCTCAGGTTCAGTATGGGGTAGATGCACTCCAACCTTGGCATTCTGCACGCAGCTCGCAGCTCGGGGGAATCCTCCCAAACCAATGCCCATGAAGCTCGGGGTTTTTGGTCCCGATGCTCGGATACTGACTCCCCTCGTGGACTGCAGCTTTATCCCTTAACGAATAAGGTCGTCAAAAGGAGGTGGCAGCGCAAACAAGCCCGCCGATCGACAGGGTTCAAGGGTACAAAGTGGTATATCTTCGGGTCTACGGAAGCGGGAGAGGAAGGGGGAGGGAGGGGCCGTGCGGAGTGCAGAGTATATTCTTGGGGATTTTTCCCACCTGTGAGGGTGGATATGACGTGATGTACGGAGCTGGAGTTCTGCAGGATGGGATGTCGAGTGGATATGGGCAGGGTGACGGGGTGACAGGGGCGATGTCAAAGGGTGTACTTCCGTTTCGATCTGGGATTAGCGCGGCGGGAAATGAGATGCGTTAGTTTTGGGGGCTTGGGGCGTGACGGAGTGAAGAAGCGGGGTACAGATTGGGGTGGGCGTCAAGCGCGGTGGTTAAATCCGAAGTCCGATTCTTGTCGTGCTTACGCATGAAGTGTAGGGTGCGTTGTTGATTTTCTCTAGCTGGTACTCTACTTCGTTGTGGTAGGAGATAAGTATTTGTCTGGGCAGGGGATGTGTCGTGGTGTATTTTCATGCGATGAATCTTCGCCTCGGAGATAGAAATAGCACCAACATCTTCAGCACTTGACAGCTCCGTCCTCGGACATTTCTCGGGGTGGTACAGTAGAGTCCGTGGCAGACGAGCAATTCCCGCGCCGATGATGCCAGAGATGACGTGCCCACAACATTCAATCCAACTCTTGCAGAGTCACAGAGCCAAGGATCGTGGAACGATTCTGACTACGCCAAGCTCCTGGAATCCCCACCGCACTGCACAAATAGAGGCTGTTCTCCGCCAGCGCGGGACTGCCCAGGACCTGTCAGGACCTAGGGCAAGCGGCAGGAACACCAACTCCCTGCTGTTCTACCTGCCACAGGTTCCGTGACACACTCCTGGCTCACGTAGCTGTGACTCAAAGAATATTCCTGCTATAGCCCTCCTGTACTAAAGATACCAGATGAAACCTTCTTGCCGCCACGGTCCCACGACAGTCTGGCGGCTGGGCTGGGCGGGACGGGACCAAGCGTTTCAGCCTCCTCCTGCGCGGGTCTCTTCAGAACGGTATTCCAGTCTTCATACCCAAGATCTAGACTGCCCTGTGAGACCTGTCAGGCACGGTTGGGGCTTGGTATGCTCCGTTGTGGAGATGGACTAGCCAATTTCTTTCGTGTGCACCCGCTTTGGCGAGTCAGTTTGTGTCTGGGAGGACAGAGCGAGTTTGAGATAAGGTGTTTAACTGATATATGTAGCTCTTTTGGTCTGGATTGTGGTTCTGCAGAGAGAGTGACAGGCATCCTGCCCGTTCACCGTGGGAATTGTAGAGTACCTTCGAGTTTTTGGACGTCAATAACAGCAAAGCATGTTACATCAGTGGTCTCCAAGCCTGCAGTGTAATACAGGCTTTGCCTCTAGACCGGTGACGTCGTGTAGCCAGGACGATTATCATGAGTATACCTCGAAAAACCGGAGTCACGTTCGCTACATACCTGCGTGCAGCAATGGAGACGATTCCTGATATAGCAGACTGACTGTTGGAAGACATCAGACAAAGTTTTCAGCCATTTGATTGATTTTATGAGTGGGTCCCAGACCATCCAGAGCGCTTTCGCACCCGACAGTTATTCTCGGCAATACTTTCATTGCGGAAAGCAAATCTCATACGATCAGCCTCTAAAGATGTACTAGGCCAGCAGTACAGAATCTAACATACACCCCTACTAACGCACCCCATCCCAGAAACGACAAGCTACAACTTCTCAAAAGTCGGCTTCCGCTTCTGAATCCCCGACAACAGCGCCGCCTCAACATCCTTAGTCTGCAGCGCCGCACTATTCCAGACGGCCGTATACCGCAGCCCTATCACCGCATTAGCATCATATTCCCCTTCAGTACCAACACTCCCCCGGCCCCTGCCCACCAAATCCAACCCCCAAGAAGTGAGAGAAAAACCTACCATCCTCAACCCTCCGATCCCTCGACCAATTCAACAACTCCTTCGTCCCCTGCACGGCAACCGGACTCTTGCCCGCCATGCGACTCGCCAACCCCAACGCCCCCGCCACCGCCGCCCCCTTATCCTTGTACACGTGCGTCACAAACCCAACGCGCAGCGCCTCAGCGGCCCCAAACTCCCTAGCCGTCAAACTCACCTCCTTCACCCACCCAAACGACCCCACCACCTTGGGCAAGCGACTCAGCGTCCCGATATCCGCCGCGAGCCCGATGTCCACCTCCTTGACGGCGAACCGCACGTCCTCCGTGCACACGCGCACGTCCGCCGCGACGCTGAGGTCGATGGCCAGCCCCAGCGCGAAGCCGTGCATCGCCACGAGCACGGGTTTCTCGCATTTCTCGACGGCCGAGATGCAGTGCTGGAAGTCGTGGATGTGGCGTCGGAGGTGCGTCGCTTTGCGCGCGGGGTCGATCTGTGCTGAGTCGGCTGAGAGCGTGCCTTCCGCCGCGGCGTGCACGTCTAGTCCCGCGGTGAAGGCTTTGGGGCCGGCGCCGCTTAGGACGATGGCGCGGACGGTGGGGTCGGTGGAGAGGCGCGTGAAGATTTGCGAGAGTTCGAGCCACATTCTGTTTTTGGGGGTTAGAGCTGAGGCTGGAGTTGGGGTTGTGGATTGTGCAGGGGGGAAACGAGGGGAAGGGGGAAGGGGGAAAGAAGGGCGCGCACGCACGCTTCGATGAAGGCATTTAGCTTGGAAGGACGGTTGATTTCCACGTGGGCGACATATTCGTGGTCTGGCGGGAAGGTGATGTTGAAGTGTTCGTAGGTGTAGGGTTGCGATGCCATGGTGACGAGGTGGTGAGGGTGTGGTGATGGAAGGTGGATGTAGGATTGATGGTTAAGGGAAGTTGGAGAAGGAAAAATGAGGGGGTAAATTAAACTGTGGTCGGATTCTGGGGTAGCTCAGGTTGAGCCGAGGTAAAATCGCAGGCGCGACCGTTGGGGAGATTAGCGGCTTATCTGCCGCGGATAAGTTGCCCAGTTGATTCCTCAAGTTACACCCAAAGAGATATCCAGATTGGACGTTGGTCATGATCCTACAGGTGCCTTGATTAATCTCTAAGCTTCTCAGAGTTCCTCTAGTACTTCCCTTTGACCAAAATGAATCTGCTGTGCTGCGATAGGTCGACTCAAGTGATATGACGTCATGCCTGTCACATGCGGATAGAGCCCTATACAACCCAGTCCACAGAAGTCATGTTACGTTGGCCAAAGTCAGCAAGACCATGAGCCTATGAGATTCTGGCGCTTCAGTTGGGGCTGACTTTGGCTGGCAGATCTCAGGCAGATCTCCTATCTGCCGAGTGGCCGCAGGTAGGTGGAGAAGGTCCTGATCTTATCACGTCCACAATATCTGGGTACGCGCATCGGGAAGAGACTGGTGGTTATTTGCAATTTGGCTCGCGAAAGACAAATCTCTACTGAGAGGTCAATCGATAAATGTCAGAGGAATTGTCTATGGCTGACTTGCAGCGTGTATACCGTCGTAGTAGCCACATGAGCTCATATCCCGATACTAACTGCAGTTTTATTAGAAACTGCCTCGAAACTGTAGTATGCTGCTCCCACTTTTCCCACATTTCTTGATTTAAGCCACTCGCTCAGGCCAACCAAGGAAAGGAACGTTTTAAAACTGTTTCAAGAACCATTTCGACTACACTCGCAGGAAGCCAGTCGGCAGGCTGGGCGAGGAAGTCATCAGGCCGGGTCACCTCGAGCGTCCCTTCTCCCTCGAGCTCGCTATACGTGTCCAGTTCGTCCGTCGAGGTGATGCTGATCTCGTAGCTTCCCTCGCACCGCGTACGCCCATCCTTACTTGCGAACACCTTTATCTCGTCGGTAATGCCCGCCACCCAGATCGTCCCTCGGAGATTGTACACCTTCTTGTAGACGTACAGCGTGGTCTGGGGAGGCACAGTCCAGGTGTCCTCGGTCGTGGTGATCTCCGAGGTCTCCACCGAGCTGAAGGTCTTGTGCTCGTAGGAGCCTTCGATGCTGACCTCGAAGCCGAAGCCGGAATACCCCGCGGTGGCGGAGATGCTCTCGGCGTCCTCCTTGCCTGTTGGCCACAAAATCACCCTCTGGTCAGTGCGTGTCCCTAGGCCGGTGAAAGCGGGTGCTATGCTACAGACCTGTCTGAATCCGCACTCCAGTCTCGGTACGGTCCGTCTTCGTTCTCGTGGCGTCGGACTCGTTCTCGATCGAGAACTGCTTGACCCATTCCACCGACACCAGCTCGATGTCTTGCACAAAATACAGATTCCCGTAGACCAGCTGCTTGACCTGCCCGATGATCTTGTTTGCATCCGCGGCAGGCTTGCTGATTAACCTATGTTCACTCGAGGGCGCACCAGGGACGAGTCTTTTATCTGGAAGGAGATGCTTGAGGTCTTTCTCGGGGTCGGTAGTCTGTGCGGCCATCTTTGATAGTTGAGCGGGCGCCTAGCTATGGGTAATGCGTATACTGAACAGTAGAAAGGGTCCTGGTGCGAATGTGATAGCGAATTGAGAGACGAGTGGTCGAGAAGCGCTAGCGGAGTCTACTCTTTTATCTTCAGCTCGAATATTAGAATACTCGATACAGGTGAACTGCCGTAGATCTACATGACACCGCAGTCCTTGGTGTCTGGAAGAGCGCACAATGACCGTCAGCAGATAAACACGGTCATCACCAAGGGCCAACCAGTCCACTTTAGCTTTGTCTTGTTCGATGGCAGAAAGCTGCGTTGTCATACTTGTTGCACCGCAGGAAGCTGATTCCCGGAGATCTGGTGTCATACATGGTGAGGCGAGTTCACCCCAATTCCACCAGATTTATGTACTGTACATGTTCGCCACGCTGTGATGATATAGAGTAGGCAAGTTATTTGGGCTCATCAGACTGACTGACTAACAAGCAGCTGAATTGCAAATCAGCCTGTATGATGTTACGCAGTACGACGCAACCAGGCGTATCGGCCCTCAAAAGATGTTAACCATGGCTAATTCTGCTGCGACATTTGCAGCATCTGTTGCTCGCCTATTTGGGTTCAACCGACCGTCTGGTATGGCTCTGCTAAGTTACCATCTGGTGCTTCCTGATGTGTACTGCTAACTCAATCGCTCTCTACCTAGTCTTCTCCTACCAGTATTCTAGCTCCACGCTAGATTGCGGTATGACGGGGAGACTGGGTGACCAAGTAGATCATACTAAAGTGGTCGCGCGTGATGACGGTGGCCCTGATACGTTCAATTTAAAACATGGATCGGACCGGTAAATCACCCCATGGTCCCCAGTCACCCCGCGGGGAAGGGGGTTTATAGTAAAGCGCGAAGGCAAAGTATCGAAGCAAGCCAAACACTTGAGGATGATTTACTCTATCGCCATTGAGAGACGGGATGCGCAGTCGTTACCCTCGCTTATCCGGCCCAGAATGGCACAGATGGACGTGGCGATTTACACTAGTGCAGTCCGTCTGCGTAAAGGCTTTGTTTCTGGGATGGAGTGTAGATCACAGATTATACTAAGCAACTGTAGGCTAAGGCAAGCTAAGAGCTTCCCGCGATGTAGCTGCCTTGAAAAATATATTACTTATATTATATAAAAAAAAAGCTTTTTATTTTATAAAAACTAACTATAAATATTTAATAATAAATGGATTAAAGCTGATCTAATTAGACTTATTTACAACAAACCTATTTTTAAATATTTTGAAAAAGTTTATATATATAAGCTTTTAGTTTAAAAATACTACTGGCCTAATATTTATTAATATATAAAATAATAAATAAAAAACAACTATATCTATTAAAGATATAAGGGCTAAAAGGTGAAATAGCGTGATGAACGAATAGCTTTCGCGAAGCCAAGGGTGCCAATGTATTGCCTTAAGGTGTTGTTGCTGTCTTGCCTGACTCGCAAGGCAGCTGCCGCCCTTAGGGACGGCTGCAGCCGGCTTGCTTAGCCGTCATGTGACCGCCGCCTTAGGTTGTCTATATACATTTCCCTTTGCAGATATCCGCGAAGGTTGGAAGGGCTGTTTAGGCCCTTACAAAAAAATAATTTTATTTAAAAAAATAAGATAAAAAATCCTAAAGCCTCTGCCAGTATTTAAATAAATATAATAAAATATATTTATAAACTTTATTATATATTTATTTAAAACCAAGAATTTTAATACTATTTTAATAATTATTAACTATTTAATAAAAATAAAATATTAAATATTATATAACTTTACTACTAATACTACTAATATTATAATTATATATATTTAATATATATAAAAACTATACAGCCTGTTTTAATCTACTTTTTTAAATAAAAAATCCTAGTTTATTTTTAAACTTTAAAAATATTTAATATAATAACTAGATATTACTAGTAAATTTTTTATAGTATATTATTCTAAAACTAATAGCTAAACTAAAGAGGTTAATATAATACTTAAATAGTAGTTTATATTAATATAAACTATTTATAAAATAACTAAAGCCAGTAGCTTTTTTAGCTGAATTTATACTAAATATAACCTATTTTAATACCATTAAAACTATTCTTTTTGATAAATTATAGTTTTTATTAGAGTGGCTAACAGCCAGGTCAGGTTAGATTAATTGGAATTTTTATACCTGACTGCCAGATTATAGTTAGATTAAAAAAACTTTTATATCTAATTACAGTATAGCTAAAAACTAAATAGTTAATAATTTTAACTATTTTTAATATCAAATTTTATTTACTATATTTTTTTTAGTTTTAGTATAGTTAAAATATATTTAGATTAAGTAGTTATTAATCGAGCCATCTAAACTATTACTAAAAAGTATTTAAAAAAAGCCTTTTAAATAAAATAAAAGTAATTTAAAAAAATAGTATTTTTATTATTTATATCTTTATAAAATAATAAAAAAACCCTAGTAGTTTTAATAGAATTTAACTTTTTAAAAATTAGTTGCTGTTATAGTATAAAATATAAAAAAAAATATATAATTACAGCTTTATTTAGACTATATATTTTAATTATAATATACTATACTACTAAAACTATATATTTATTTCTAGTTAGACTATTAAAAATAATTATATAGTTTTTAGTTTATTTTTTATTTTTTTAATTTTAGTTTAAATAGTTTATTAATCTGTTTTTTTTATTTATAAAAGCTAAATTATATTTTATAAATTAAACTTTTAAGTTAAACCTATACTACTTTATTTATTTAGTTTTTATTAATAACTATACTTACTAGAAACTATCTAATTAAAAACCAGATACTAAAATATTAAACTTTAGTAGATTTTTATAAAAGCCCTTTTTAAAACTTTTTTATATTTTAATTTATTTTATTTAATTAAGCTTTACTTAAAAAAAATATTTTTTATATTTTTAGACTTTAAAGATAACTTTTTATTTATAAAACAGCTAGGTTTAAAAAGTACTGCAGATACCTGCAGCAGTATATAAAAATATAATAAATTATATTTATATAAAAATATATCTAAAGCTAAATTGATACTATTTTTATAAAGTTTTTCTATTTTTATTTTTTTATATCTACTATTTATAAAGTAGTTTTAGAGTTATAAGTTAACTACAGTTATCTAATTTATTTTTAAAAAATAGTATTAAACTTTTTTTTTTATTTTTTAAATTTTTATAAACTATAATAATTTTTAAACTAAAATAAGTTTTTTAAATCAGCTTTTTTTACCTCCAAACCTTAAAATTACATATATTATAAAAAATTAAAAAATTATTTTATATTTATTTTTATAAAATAAAATTTTTATTTTTGAAAATTAGTAGTAGAAGATAATCTTTTTTAAAGCTTATATATATACTTAAAAACTACTATTTATTTTTAGTTAAAAAAAGTTATTAATAATATAAAACAGCTTTTAAAAAGATATATTATTTTTTAATGAAACCCCTTATATTTATTATAAAGTATATTTTTATATTTTATAATATCCGGAACTTTAAAACTTAAAAAACAGTTTTATAAGCTACTATTTTTATAAAAGTTATAAAAAAATATTATTAGTTATATCTAAATAAATAATTACTTAAATACTAAGTAAAGGGCTATTATAAATATTTTTTTATTTTTTTAAAATAAATTTTTTTTAATAATTATTTTTTTCTAGGCCTTTACAGCCTATAATAAATAGAGTTTTTAAAATTAAGTTTTATATTTTATAATTATCTATTATCTACTATTCGAAATGGTTAAATATATTTAATTTAAATAAATAATTAATTTTACTACTTTATTTTTCTACTAAAAGCTAAGCCCTTTTAATTAAGCACAGATTAAAAAACATTTTTTAAAATTATTAAAAAAATATATATATAGTTATTATTAAAGTTTTTAAATACTGAATATATATTTATTACAGTAGACTATTAAACTAGTTTTAATTAAAAAATATTTTTTATTTTAACTGGATATTTTTTAATAGAAAATATAAATTACTATAAAGTTTTACTAAACTTTTAACTAGTATCTAAATTCTATACTGCTAAAAACCTAGCTGTAATTATTTTATTAGTCTTATATAAATATAATCTTTTTTATTAGTTATTAAATATAATAATTAATAATACTAGTAATAATAGTTTAATATTTAGTATAATTTTATTTAAATTTTAAATTTAGCTTAGCTAAAGTATCCAGCTTTATAATACCTTAACTAATCCTAATCTTATAAAAATTATTTAAAACCAGTACTATATTTTTTATTTTATTTATATAATTTAGCTTATTGTTAATACTTTTCTATAAGCACTTTAGATTAAAACTTTAAACAGTACTGTTAAATATATATAAAAAAATAATAATAGTAGTTTTAAAGCCTTTTCTAGTATTTTAAAAACTTTTAAAAAGATATATTGTAAAAGCTGTTTATAAAAGGCTAATATAAATAATCTTTTTAGAAATTATTTATATAAGCTTTTTATAAACAGCTTTTAAAACTTTTCTATTAACTATACTAATTTTTACTTATAGATTTAGAAAATTATATAATTTATAAATATAAGTTTTTAATACTATAAAAAGTTTCAGCTTATTTAAAAACTTAAATCTGGCTTAGTTTTTTATTTTTTTTTAACTATAAAACCTGCTAAAACTTAACTTATTTTATAATTTATTAAATATTAAAACTTTATTAACTAATTTAAAGCTTTATTAAGTACTATAATTATAGTAATATTAATTATCTTTATTCTACTATAATCAAGTAGAAACAGATAAAATATTTTTTTAAACTTTTATATTTTTTTTTACATTTTATTTATTTAAAAATAGTATACCTACTGTCTACAAGGTCTATAATATCTATAATAATTTTTTTAATTATTTAAATTATTTAATTAACTAACTGGTATAAAAGCAGATATTTTAAAAAAATTTTTTTAAGAACCTGTAAAATATATACT